CCCCGCCGGGATCTTTGATGGGGACCCCTTTCCCCGACGAACACTAGCTGAGACTGGACCGAAATCTAAACGAGACTAAAGCAGATGAGGCTGAGCTGTTTTCGAGTAGTTCTTGACATAAGTCTATGATTTGTCTCATTTTAAAACGGTTTCAATATGTTAATGAAGTCGAATAGTATGACTCTTTCAATGCCAATTGATAGTCTTTAATATTTCTGCATATTCAGTTTTTTCACGCAGATTTTATGCAGTGTGTGAATCGTTTCCAAGTTTCACCATTTTTGCACAAATTGTATATGCATGCTCGCTGATGTTTTTTTTTGCATTTTTGTGCGCGTAAATTCAAATTCAAATTTTGTAAATTTTGATTATTCAAATTTTGTTTACGTGCGGTCGACATGATGTGAATATTGTCGTATTTTGGATTTAAACGCGTCAGTGATTGAGCTGCACAAGGTTTTCGGTTTGTGATATTTATTCAAAAAAACTTGTTTTTCAGTTTTATGGTTATAGTGGCAACATTGCGTTTGGTACGATGAATAACGGTTCCTCCCAAACTCGACCCAGAAAGGATAAGCCATATCAATCGTCTGGCAAAACAGCTGCAATGATTCTGAATGAGCTGTATCCTGATTTTAAAGATCACTGCTCATGCGACACGGTAGGCAGTTCGCTTTTGTAGCCAATGTATCATTTCTTTCATCGACGTGATGTGATTTTCTATGTGCTTCCGTATCGTATTTTATTGATATCTCCTGTTACGAACCAAGAAATTGCAACGAAAAATTTCGAGCGTTCATTTGAACGTTTCATCCGACAGTCTGGTCAGAAATGTTAATCTGCGATCGCAACGATACATTCTTTGAACCGTAACATTTATAATTCTTTATAACTCATTGCTNAAAGAACTATTGCTTGCTCATGACGTTAGAATTCTGTTCTGTTCAGCTAACGGATATGAAGGTGCCGCGATTTGAATTCAAATTTTCAATACAAGGCAGACAATTTTCTGCTGATGCATCAAGCAAAAGAATTGCAAAACAAGTCAGTGTTCACGTTTTTCTTTGACAGAGTTTTGTTGTGCTCATTTGCTTGCAGTAAATGAGAGTAGTTTGGTTATCGTTTTTGTGTGATCACCATTATTCGTAGATTTTATTTTGAAACAAATAATGTCGGTTGCGAGAGGGATTAAGTGCTGCATTATATCTGAACGCCATTTAAGTTGGCTTGTGAGCGAGCGTTGAAAATCTTAAGACCGGACATCGTCCTGGATGTACCGTCACATACAGAATCTGAAGCTCTCAAGAAAGAATCTGTGATGGAAACGAACTCTGTTAAAGGAAGCGAAACGTCGGTAAGTAAACATTATTCTTCGAAGCAGATCTTAAATTTTGAAGCCAAAAATCCTAACTCTGAATGTATATCATCGTTTTCGGACGTACAACTCGCATATGAAGGCATTTACTAAAATTTTGAATTCGTTTCACGAAATTGACGAGGTATGAGATTTGTTTTTGCTCACTAAACAACGATTGATTATTGGTTTTGACGAAACCATATCCTTGTATTTTAATGCATTTACAGTATTTTAATATATTAACTTTTTAATAATGAGCAGTGAGGAAGTTTGAACTGCTTCTGAACTTCGCTCAGTGCCATTTATTCATTAATGGTAAGTAAACGTCATCAGTTTCTCGTTCAAAAACTTTTTTAAGGTTCCGTCGAAAAAGAAGAAACGTGATCCATTAACCACGTCAAATTCGCTGCCCCACTACTTCCTGAGATTATGTCAAGTNTGAATCAGTCTTGAGTAGCAGCGATGTTAGCCTACTGTGCTGACATTGCTGCTACTCAAAACTGGTTGTGCTGCCCAGAGCAGCGAATTTCCGTGATGTGGTCGTTGAAGGAAGTGAGTAGCGCATGAATAAGTATGTTCAAGTCATTAAGCCAGCTGTTAATTTGCAGGAAAAGGAAGCAGAGACGAAAGTACGTTACAATCCTGAGTTCTCGTTCTGTGAGCTTCCGGTTGCAAGTGGTGCGAAGCAACATATGAAACGTTTTCAGTAAGTTTATTTCATGAAGGCACCCGACATTTCCTCAGCATCTCAGTGCGTTCGGTATGATACGATCAGCTTAGATTTTGTTTTTAATAGATCGAAAGTGGTATCCTTATTTTGTTAGGTGCTAAGCGCATTCTCTCTTCATCCATCGCGATAATGAATTGTTGGTTATGAGTGATTGCACTCACTGTTCTAGGTGTACGCTGACGATGCTCGAACAAGGAAAAGTGTATACTCATGAAGGTGTTGGAAAGGCGGCCGGAAAGAATTCAGTCATTCGTGAGGTTAGCGTTATGAGGATTATGACATAGCTCGTGTGACACATAATTGTAAACAGTAGTAACATTATTATTATTATTTAGCTATATCCAGGGTCTTACCCTACTCAATTTTGTCCGAACATATTTATTTCAGCAGCAGTTACAACTTGTTCCTAGCATTTGCTTCTCTGTGATTACCAGCATCACATTCTTTCTTTCGTGACATCTTTTACTCTCCAACACTGCACAATGATTTGTAGGGAAAGGGGCTCGAAAGAACTCGAGAAATACACTTTTTATTCGAGGTAGAATGCTTGTAACGATCATTCATAGTTATGGGATTACTGGTATCGGTTGACCGCAACCGGAACCACTTCCATAATATTTTCGGAATAATAAATTACGATTCCAGTTAACGTAAACGAATAGATTCATAGCGATCGGCATACTAACCATTTCATTTACGAATATTTTTAACCATTTGTGTGAATATTCTTCATCGCCGTTATTCTTGTATTGTCGAATGTTTTAAGGCACTACTCGACGTCTTCAAAATCAGTCCTGAGGAAATGCGAACAATTGAACGGCGAGTGATAACATTAAGACCTGGACCTCCCGTCGCGGTATTCATTTTTTAACAACTCATAAATGCTGTAGAGAGTGTAAAACTGTCCAATGAGAGCATTAATTCTTGTTGATTTCGGAGAAGGCGATATGGTTCAGTCACGCGACTGTGCGCATCTCAGTGCAGTTGTCCGAACGAACCATCATGTGAAATTGATTTTTCAACAGAAGTCGATTTCACTTCTTTTCCGAAGTTTCGTTATTTCACCACTAGTCCAAGTATTGTTCACGTTGCTAAACTCATAATTTGAGAAGAAACGAATCCCAATCCCTGATCGTTATTGCAATGCTAACAGCTTTCAGCTTTTGTTAAGAAATAATTAAATTTTTATCTATATACTTCCAACTAGAATTGACGTGGTAGGTATTCAGAATGGTTTGTAAAGTTAGTGTGACGTTTCGTCAAGAACGATCTGACGTTGACAGTTATTCGTCAGTTTGTCCATCTTATTAATATTATTATCTCACAATTTCAAAGCGAATGTATCAACTCAAATCAATGCTTTTTGTGCTTTTATTTCTTTTTTTAATTATAATTCCAAAACAATTTTTTTGAAAGACATTAACTTTGTAACGCCTTAATCAAGCGATCACTGCTATGCATATTTGTTCTCTGTAATCGATCATTTTTATGGTTGCCTCATGGTAGAACCAGTGAGACAGAGGCATTAATCAATAGTTTAACGGTGTGATTAGTGATCGCACTCTCGATTTCATTTGTGTTTCTAGTTTGGGTCAAGATGATTCGTCGTTATTTTGTTAGGGATCGAAGGGAATAAAATGAAAGAGGAAGTGAATGATACTGGTCGATCGTTCGCTTTGAAGAGTGTTGTGTGATAGTAATATCTAATTGAGGTGCTTCTGCAAGCGCTCAGCTTCTACGATCGTCCGGTGCACATTGAAGTGGACACTGCCGATGGCAAACCGCTCGAAGCAAATAGCCGTTTCATCGCCAAAATTACAATCGACAATGAAAGTAAGCATGCGTTAGCGGCACGTGTCAACTTGTTCTTTTCGTTACACAGTTACATTCATTAATCCAGTTGAATTGATCGCTTATCGCCCATTATCATCAGCACTTCTTTGAATGGGCTTGGCACAGTTGACACTAACCGCTATCGTATGTGTTTGATGTTTGATGTCGTGTACCGTCACATCTTTAATACTTAAGTGATATTTATAATGAGCGTTTTTTTGTTTCGAGAATATCTTACTTATTCTCTGATGCGAATTTTACAAAAAACTCCGGGAAAAACCGTACATGGTCACGGATATATTGATGAAAAATATTCATTATCATGCAATTTTTCTATAACAATGATGACATGATTCAGCTGAGTTGTTCATCTCTTTGAATAAGTGCTGTCGAATTTTGTCGTAAGTTCGCTGTTCAGTCGCTTAGAGCAGTTCAGGATTTGAAAAATTGCCCGTATTCTTATTTTACGGACTTGATTTTGAATGGAATCGATGCGGAAAATTCAGTGGTTTTACTTGACATGATGAAAATTTTTGCGTTCGATGAGTTTGGTATCATTTTCGAAATGCAGAATGGCCATTTCAGTTGGCCTAATAAGCAGGAAGACAGAGATTGTTTTTACAGCAACGATCACAGGACCAGAAGAGGACAGTAAACAAAAAGCGAAAGATGCAGCATGTCTGAAGGTGCTAACCGATATTCTTGAGCTGTCGATGCCCGAACCTGAAGAGTTCTCACTGAAACGTGCATCGTCAATATTGTCACCGTGTTACGCT